ATTACAATTTTGAAGAATAATAAATGGTCTGTAAAGTGTTTTGTAATGTAAAATATAGGGTGTGTTTTGTTATTTTTAATTAAAGATATTTTGGTCACTAGAGCAATTTACAATAACAAATTTGTAAATATTTCTCTTTTTTACAAAATCTATTTTTTTGTTACTAATATGTGTAATACAGTATGCAAAATATAATTATATAAAATATGGTACGCAAGGTCTGCTTTGTGAATTTCCCTAAAAATTATATATTTTGGATTTCTCCAATTTCTTCAATTTTTGGTATTTGCTATTTCAAAACGAGTCCAAGACTCGGTATTCGTGTGAAAATCAACGAGTCTTTGATATCTTGTTCTGTAGTATTCTTAAAAATCAACATATACTAATATCACAATATTTTGTTGGAATCAACGAGACTTCGATATAACGTATTTGTTCATTATTTTACACTTCCACCTACATAGATTCTCATTGTGTCACATGAACAAAACATCCAATGATATTACAAGGTCATAGATGGACAATCTATGATTCATAAGTCACCAATAATAATCTTGATGAGACATAATGGAAAATATCATTGTATATGCGATTTACACGAGCATTTCAACACCTACAGTGGTTGGCATTCTGAATGAGACAGGCGTGCAAACCCTAATTTTCTATTCCTCATCTCCATAATACAATAATTGAAGATCTATTTCCACTATGCAGTACTTCTTTAATTAAAATAAATAATTAAATGAAGTCAGACAAAAAATGGGATTGGAACATATTTGTCTTTCTCTAAGATGAATCTTATTATGCATTGATATAAGGATAAAAATAAAGATGCTTTCTATGTATAAAACAGACTATATAAAAAAAAACATTATTAAACTTAAACCTTTTGTTTTTATATATAAGACCTGAATGCTGTCCTTCAAATGAATTCATCTTGTTGATATCTGAGAATTTGTTTTTCAAATTCTGCATAACAATTTCAAGATGTATATTTCAATAAGTGAAGATTTTCAACATGTTATCTTAGCTTGTGTGCTGGCCATGGCTATTGGAATGGCAATTTTCCTGTCCCTATTAGGCAAAGGAGAGGGTACAAGAAGAAAAGAGTGCATTCCAGGGAAGCTTGGAATTCCGTTTCTTGGAGAGACTTTCTCTTTTCTTGGAGCCACCAACAGCACCAAAGGTTGCTATGATTTCGTAAAGCAACGGAGACAACGGTAAGTACTGATCTTTTCCTTATTCATGATCCACTTAATCACATGTATATTGGATTTTATATACATTTTTCATAAATAGGTGACGGCAAAATTTGAAATTGAGATGTCTTTACTTATAGATCTTGTCGAATTACTTCAACAGAGGAATTGATAGATTTCAAGGTAATATATTCATGGGAAAAAAAAAAGTTAATGAGACAAGAGAATGATGAGTTAGGCGCTTATCTAGGCAGTAACATCAACTGTTTTTGCGAAAATTCACGGTTTGATTCATTTGACTTAAATATGAATTTCGTAATCATTTAGCATTCATTACCAAAGTCTTCAACTCAATAAAGTCTTGACTACGGTTATATTTAGAATGAGAAAAGAAAAAGAAAGCTTTGCTGTGTTTTAAAAGTATTACTGTAGTAAAAGCAAATGAAATTGAGAAAAATGCATTTTTAAGCAAAGAAAACTAAAATTACTTAGTTAACATCAGAAACATTACAATTTAAAGCTTGATTAATAACAACCCACTAAAATCATGGTCCTAAGACTACGCCATGATCACAAACATGAATAACAAAAATAACCAACACCAAAAAAAAGAAAAAAGAAAAAAAGAACAATTTTTAAATAGTCAACTAAACAACATTTATAACTTCACATCAACAGTCCTAAACACGTCTTCTAACACTCCTTGCTTTAGGAGCTGAAAACACCAAGTTTTGTCCTCAAAAATTCGAACTTGCTAGTAGGTAGTGGCTTGGTGAAAATATGTGCAACATGATCTTCTGTTTTGCAGTACATAAGAACAACATCTCCATCTTCCTGTACTTCCCTTAAGAAGAATAACTTAATGTTAAAATGCTTAGTCTTTCCATGAACACACAGGATTATGAGAGATAGCAATAGCAACTTGATTGTCGACAATAATCTTCGTGCTTTCCTTCTGTTTCAAGTTAAGATCGATTAAAATCTTCCTCAGTCACAAAGCTTGATTAACAGCAGTTGTTGCAGCAGCAAACTCTGCTTCAGCAGTGGATTGAGCTACAGTTTCTTGTTTTTCCGAGCTCCATGAGAAAACACCACAACCAAGTGTGAAACAGTAGCCTGAAGTGCTCCTCATATCATCAATGGAAACTCCCCAATCATTATATGAGAAACTAACCAGCTTAAACTCTTTGCTCCTCGTGAATTTAATGACAAAATCACATGTGCCTCTTTGTATCCTTGAGATGCCATTCGCTTGCACAGTACATAAACCGAGACAAAATGCTTACAACATTCAAAATGTTAGGCCGAGTTGATCAAGCAACCAATCAGACTTCTGAAATATACCTGATCAATCTTGGCTGTTCCATCTTCTTTACATAGGTTTTCCTTTTGGTTCATAGGAGTGCTTATTTCTTTGCATTCTTTGAGGTTAAACTTCTACAAAATCTCCTTGACGTATTTCTTCTTATAGATGAAGACTTCATGTTCATTTTGTTTAATTTTCATTCCAAGAAAGAAGGTCATCAAATCGAAATATGTCATCTCAAAAACCTCCATCATTTGTTGCTTAAACTTCTCCACAAGACTTGTGTTGTTTCTTGTCACGAGCAAATCATCCACATATAGTGAGATGATATGAATGCCATCTCCGTTGTGCTTGACATACAATGTTGATTCAGATAAGCTTCTAGCAAATCCCAAGTTCTGCAAATGTTCATCAATTATGCTATACCAAGTTCTTGGAGCTTGTTTCAATCCGTAGAGTACTTGTTTAAGAAGATAGACCTTGTATTCTTCTCATTCCTTTACATAGCCTTCCGATTGCTCTACATAAATCTCCTCATGAAGAAAACCATTTAAGAACGCCGACTTGACATCTAACTGGTACACCCAATTCTTTTGTGCTGCAACAGTGAGTAAGAGCCTAATGGTATCGAGTCTAGCTACTGATGCGAAGGTATCTGAGTAGTACATACCAATTATTTGAGCATATCCTTTGACCACTAGTCTAGCTTTATACTTATTGATTGAGCTATCTGTATTAAGCTTGGTTCTGTACACCCATTTGACTCCAATTACCTTTCTGTTTTGGGGTCGATCAACAAACTCCCATGTTATATTCCTTTCAAACATGAACAACTCATCCTTCATTACAACAATCCAATTTTGATCCGTCTTGGCTTCTTCATAATCTACAGATTCACACACAACAATGTTGTATCTTTGATAAACATCAGAAAGTAGTCTTGTGCCTCTGACAGAAATTTCATCCACCATGCCATCTTGCCCGTCTCCTATGCTTTGTTTTGCTGTGTCCGAAATAGGAAACTTGAGCTTTGGCTATTTTCGAGGTTGGATCCATCTACTTTGCATCAACCCAGTTCCACTCTTCGTCTTCCATAAAGTGCACGTCCCTACTTATAACAATTTTTCCACTTTGTGGCTGGAAAACTTTATAAGCTTTTGTAACAGAGTTGTAGCCAATGAAGATGCCTGGAAGTGCTCTTTTATTTAGGGGTGGGCAAAACTCAATCGAACCTGCAAAAACCATCCAAACTGACCGTTTGGGTTGGTTTTTTGTTGTTTTTAAGTGGGTTCAATTTTTTAGCTATGTAGGTGAGTTGGGTCGGGTCGGGTTATGGGTTAACCTATGAAAATCGAATAAACCCGTCCAACTCGACCTTACTACTTTAAAAAAAAAGTACTTTGTTCTTTATAGGCTCAACTAATGAAGATTGAATAAGATAATAGATAATTTTATATATTTATTTACTATTTAATATTCTCTATTCAAATTTAGTATAATAGAAAATTGGATGACTTTAATATTTGTTGACAAGTTATCCCAAACCGACCAACCCGACTGATACTTGATTGTGTTGGATTGGGTTTCAACCTTTACATTGGCTGAATTGAGTTAAATTTTGATCAAACCGATCGTATTGAGTTGGATTTGAATTGAGTTAAAAAGGGACCCAACTCAACCCATGCCCACCCTTACTTTTGTATAGTTTATCTCTTGATCTGTGGAACATGAGTGAAGCACAAACATCTAAATATTTTAAGGAAATTCAGAGATGATTTATAACCATACCATGCCTCAAAGGGACTGCTTTGGTAGGTTCTTCTCATGTTGCATACATCGTGTCATCTCCATCATGAATTTGTTCCGTCTTTCACTTACTCCATTTCGTTGCGAATTATATGGAGTGGTTAATTAATGTTGAATGATTTCTTCCTCACAAAATTTATTGAATGATTCAGAGGTACACTCCTTGTCATTGTCTGATCTAAGAGTTTGAATTCTACAAACACTCTCATTCTCAACTCTAGCTTTAAAGTTCCAGAAGACTTGAGCCATCCCGAAATTGTGCTTCAAAAAGAAAATCCAGCACATACGGGTGAAATCATCAATGAATGTAGCATACTAGAGACTACCTTCAGAAAAGGCGTTCTTATAAGCCTGTAATGTTCGTATGAATCAATTGTAGCTTTTTTGATGTTTTCCATGTTGCTTTGGGATTCCTGCTTTGTTTTCCAAACAGGCATGCTTTGCAGTTTGGAATGTGATGATCAAGTTCTGGAAGGTCATTTGCCATCATCTTGGATTTCATATGCAACAGCCCCTGATGATGATAGTGCCCGAGCCTCTTGCGCCATACTTCTATGATATTTTTTTTGATTGGGAAAGCAGTTTGCTCCTCTTCCAATGGATTTAAAACAAAGCTTTTTCCTTTCATTTTACTTTGAAAATATCTTGGCCAACTGCATCTTTAATCAAGCAACTTTTGTCTTTGAACACAACTTTATAACCTTTTTCAATTAGTTGCCCAACACTTCACAAGTTTTGATCAATTTCAGGGACATACAACACATCATAAATGAACTTTGTAATTGAAAGCTAGAAATTGCAACTGTTCCTTTTCCTTCTATAGTTATGTACTTGCCATTTCCAATTCGAACCTTTGACGTGTTTGTGCTCCTTAGTTCCCTAAATAGCTCATTGTTACGTGTCATGTGGTTAGTACAACCATTGTCAATAAGCCAATTCTCACTTGATTCGATGCTAGAGAAACATGTAGCCATGAACAATTGATCATCCTCCTCTTGATCAGCAATTTGTGCCTCGTCAATGCGTTGTTGATTTTTGTTTTTGCAGATTACAGCTTCATGCCCCATCTGGTTATATTTGGTGCATTTGGCATCTGATATTTTCAAGTATTTAAAATGTGGATGAGATTTTCCACCACACTGGTGGCATGGAGGATGAGATCCCTTTTTGTTTTAAGCTTTGCTCTTGTTGTTGTTGGCCATGAATTCTCCATTTGAGCCTTGATGCCTTTTGCCCTTCTTTTCTTGTTGTTTCTTACATTCTCTTGATGCTTGACAGATAAGGCCCCCTCAACATCATCTTCCTGCCTCATATCTTTTCTTTGCTCCTATGCTAGTAATGCATTCAAGAGTTTCGCCAGAGTGATTTTTGACATATCCTTATTGTTTTCTAAGGATGTAATTGTGGCCTCAAATTTTTCAGGCATC